AATTACTTTGTTGGGACACCTGGGTGGCTCAGTTGTTGAGCGTCTGCCTTCGGCTCAGGTTGTGATCCCAGGGTCCTGGGACCAAGTCCCACATTGGGGTCCCTGCTCAGCGGGGAGCCTGCTTCTCCCTCTCCCACTCCCCCTGCTTGTGTTCCCTCTCTCGCTGTCTCTGTCAAATAAAAAAAAAATCTTTAACAAATAAAAAAAATAAAAATTACTTTGTTATTAAGTATATCTTTTTTTTAAAAGATTTTATTTATTGTTGAGAGAGAGCATGAATGCACTGCGGTGGGGGAGGGTGCAGAGGAAGAAGCAGGCTCCTCTCTGAGCAGGGAGCCCAACTCGGGACTCGATCCCAGCACCCTGGGATCACGACCCGAGCCGAAGGCAGACTCTCAACTGACTGAGCCACCCACGCGCCCTGTTCTTAAGTTTATCTTACAAACAGAAGAGTATATGAAATGTGTACAGTATAAAGCCTAATAGAACAAACACCGATGCATTTATTTCCCAGGTTAGAAAACACAAAGCACAGAAATCCCCTATACATTCTACTGATCATAACTTAGTGACTTCTCCAATCTTCCCTACTATCCTGGTTTTTGTGTTCATCATTTCCAGCTTTTTAAATAATCCTTACCAGTTCTGTATGATTTCTAAGCGGCATTACTGTTTAACTTTGTGTTTTTGAACTACCACTTGCTTCTTTACCCAAGAAGTATTTTGAGATCTATCCCTGTACATGGGACTCTGCTTCTTTCACTTTAAATCACCCCTTAGAGTACTGTAATGTCTAATATACCACAACTGATTTATCGATTCTATTGCTCCGGGACTTTCTGGGTCACTTTCAGTTTTCTGCTGTCATAAGCAATGCTACCCTGAATATTCTGGTACTTGTCTCCTGGTGTGTATTCAGTTTCTCTAACGGTGTGTATACATATATATATATGATATATATATATCATAGTAAATGGAATAGTAAGTGGAATCAGAGTTCTAGGGAATATTAGGCTCAACTTTGCTGGGTGATGCTGAATTTTCTAAAATGTTTCTAGCAGTGTATAAAATTTCCACTGCTCCACATTCTCACCAACACTTGGTTTTATCAGATTTAAAATCTTGCTAATCTGGCAAGTAATTTTACAAATTTTCATATATTTAACCATCTGGGTTTCCTGTTCAATAGTGCCTGGGGGCATCTGGGCAGCTCAGCCGGTTAAACATCTGACTTCAACTCAGGTCACGATCCCAGGATCCTGGGATCGAGCCTCACATCAGGCTCCCTGTTCAGTAGGGAGTCTGCTTCTCCCTCTGCCCCTCTGCCCCTCCCCTCTGCTCCTGCTCATTCTCTAATTTAAAAAAAAAAAAAAATAGTGCTTGTTCAGTCGTTTCTGTAATTTTTTTTTTTTTTTTAAGCAGGCTCCATGCCTAGTGTGGAGCCCAAAGCAGGGCCTGAACTCACGACCCTGAGATAAGACCTGAGCTGAGATCAAGAGTTGGACCCTTAACTGAGCCACCCAGGTGCCCCTATACTGTCTTTTCTCCTGAGTTGGAAGACAGACAACACACACAGAATGTACATATTCTGAATCTGAATCCTTTATTAGTCATATGTGTTACAAAAATTCTTTCCTACTTTGCATTTGTTCACTTTCTTTATGTCTTTTGATAAAAAGTTCTTAATCTTAATGTGGCCAAATTTGTCAAATAATTTCCTTCTTAACTTTTTAAGGAACCCCTTCCCCATGCAAGATATTCTCCTATATTTTCTTCTAAAAGCTCTGACTTTGCCTTTCACATCAAGGTCTTTCATCAACCCTGAACTGACATTTGTGTGTGATGTAAGACAGGGTCCAATCTCCAATTCATTTTTTCCACATGGACACCCAGCTGTCCTAGCACCGTTTCCTGAAAACTTCCCTCTGCTCTGTAAGATTTCCCCTCTCATTTATCAAGGTCCACATAAGCATGGGTCTGTTTCTGTTCTAGTTCTTTGGTCTTGACATCTAGAAGGGGAAGTTATTCCAGAGTATCTTGCCTATTCCTACAATAAATGGCCCATGTAAAATTTTAAGTTAGCACATTAGGTCTCACAAAAAAAAGAAACCTACTAGCATCTTCAGGGTTTTACAATGATTCTACTGTTGATGAAGAATGTGGGAGAATTACCACCTTCGACATCCTGAGGCTTCTTATCCATGACATAGCTCCCCTTTACTTAGATTTCCCTTATAATCGTAAGGTTTTCTTCCTGCCTATCATAGCCAAAGCTGCAAATGCTACAGCTTGCTCAGCCACAAGGAAGGACACAAGAGACTGGTACTTACTTTACTTCCTCCTATCATCTTCCTACTTTAAACCACAGAAATTCTGAGAATTCAGACTCTGAAGCAACCATTGTGTGATAGTTCAGGCCCACGTATGTAGGGAAGTATATGTGAGGAAGGTATTTAAACTATTCTTAGTCTATACAAACCGACAAAAGAAAACACAGAGACTCTAATAGACAAATATATTACAAAAGAAAGAGAAAAATGGGTAGAAACTATCACTGGCAATAAAAGAAACTTACAGTAAAAAAACAAACCCTTTTTTAATCTGTACATTAAGGGAGTAAAAACTAATAACACTTGATTGCATAAAGACCTCAAGATGAATACTGATTCAGTGCTGGGAAAGCTGCTTTGGTACAAGTTAGAAATACATCAAGAGCTTTTAAGTATTCATAACCTTTGATTCAGTAGCTTCACTTACAGGAATTCTGACTAAAAAAAAATTAAAATGTGCATAAAACTACACAAAAATCCACTGCCATATTACAATAAAATATTGGGGGGAAATTTTATCCTAAAAGTTGACCATTAAACCCATACAAGAGAATGCTATGCATCTGAATGCTGCTTATGAAATACCTAGTAACACTAGAGAAATATTATATTATTTTTTCATAAAACAAGAGTATAAAATTCTATACATTATATGACCACTTTTTTACAAGAATAAAACGCATGGAAAAAAAGGCCAGAAGGAGATTAAGTGGGACTTGGTGGTTAAGTCTCACTCAAAAGGATTTAAAGTATTAAGAAAAAGAACAATTTTGGTTAGAGATGAGGGACTGAACACATGTATTTATCTCCATTTACTCCTAAAAAATTCGTAATAAAAGTCTGTTTAAGGTACAAATCACTAAGGACAAAAATAATGGAAGAAACAACTGAAACACAATTTTGGAACAGAAAGCAGAGGACAGTAAGGAAAACCAGGAAGCAAGCCAGTTCACATGTCAGAACTCCCCAGAGGCTGATGAACAAGGACCTGTGCAAACAGGGGTAGAGGTGGGTCCAAAGCAGGAAGACTGGGTGAAGGTCTCTGTAGGAGGCACAGTTAGATCTTGGGGTTCCCTCTGGCCCTGCTCAGTCACGTGACTTCTTCCCTTCACCCCCACAGTAGACCAGAGGTTTATTTTCTCAAAAGGGTATTCTCAAAAGGGTAAAACAGAGATGGGCACGGAGGAAGACAGAGATACAACAAGCACATAACTGAAACCCAGGGGGATGAAGTTCAAGTTTACTGAGCATCTAGCCCTTTTCTCCCTTCCAACTTCCAGATCACCCACAATTGCCATGGCTGCCCACCCAAGTAATCTTCCAAATAGCCTTTTGGTGTCCCGGTCTTCAATATGAGCAGATGCCAAGGGTCACCAGACATCTGGCAAAGCCATCTAACACAAACATCAAATAAATGCAAAACATAATAGAAAGGTTGGGAGGCAAAGTTGAGGAAATCTGCCAAACAAATAACATACCCAGGACACATGAAAAGAGAGAAACAGGAAAGAAAGAAAACTAGAAGACAAGTCCAGGATAGGAGATTATCCCACCTGAGCAACAGACATGGTTGGGGGGGGGGGAGTGAAAGGTACCCAGTGCAGTGGATGAAGACAGATCTATACCTGAGTACATCACTGTGCAATTCCAAAACACTGAGGTCAAAGAAAATTCTACAAGCTTCAGAAATGGAAAAGAACTCTTTCACATAAAGGGTCAAGAATCGGGACAGCAGCCAGCTTCCCTACAGAAACACTGACTAAAACTGTGGAAAACAGATTAGCCACACTGGTAGAATATAGGGGAAAAAGACAAGTTCTGATTCTTAAGGACTCAGTTTCCTCCCTTACACTTCTTCTCAGGAAGCTACTGGAAGGTGTACTCTACGGCCGAGGAGCCAAATTACAAAGAGTGAGACGGGATGCACATAATCCCATCTACCACCAAGGGGAAAGGAGCCTTTGAGACCCAGGCAAGGGAGATTCTAAACAGCAGCTGTTCGGCGGCTCTGAAACACCCATCCAGTCTCTAGAAGACTCTTCAACAGGATGAAATGCATAAAGAAGATTTACACAACTAGGTAAGTGTTTGGGGACTGAGTAACACATAGAATCCCAAATGACCAAAACAAAACAATTATTACGAGAAAAACAATACCAGACACAAAAGGAAAAGCAATCATTTTCAATTAGATGGCTCAGCTCTCAACAGTATTTTACGTATCAGTAATAGCACAATACGTGTGTTATTTTGAAATATGGAGGTAAGCACCAAAAGAAATGAGCTAAAATAGTTGAAAGGGACCTCTAAGGGGCAGGAACAGAGAAGTACACAGCGACTGATTTTTCGTAACCAGCTAAAACATGTACATGTATAATTCAGACACAACAGAGGATTTAAAATTCCTGGCGATTAGGCTTGCTGGATCAGATACACCTATGCAAAATAAATTTTTAAGAATCTACTACTCTGAAAAGACTCCCGCGGTGCCTTTGCTCACCTAGATGTACCCTTCCAATAATCTTCTGGGTGCCCACTCCTTTGGCGATCCCTGCCCACCGACGGTCCACCAGCCTCATTATATTACACCTTTCTGCACAAGCTTGGCTCATAATAGTCATCTGGGCACCTAGAAGTGGAGGGAAACATCAGATAATAAAAACAAAGTCCACGTTTGTGCTAAGATTAAAAATGCAGCCTGAGAACAGGGCAGAGAGCAAGTTCACCCCCAGGCTTTTGTCTGTGTAAAATTATTCATACCTAGCTTAATCTAGCCCTTAGTTGTTCCTGCCACACTTAATTCAACTTTCAGTTACACACTGGAATCTGAAACGCAGTGTAGAAACCTAACAGGGAGTGAAAGAATATTTTGTTTAAATGTAATAATTGGAAGACATTTTCAAACTTTACCGACAGAAAGCAAAACTACCTGGAGAGGACTTTCAGAAAGTCAAACCATATCTACAGATGGAAATGCTAAGTTAAGCACTACTTTACAGTCAGATCCATCTTCACCAAGTACCTCTAAACATCTTATCAGATTATTTTTATTTCAAACTTTGGGACACTATAATTTACTAGGTAAAACCTGCAGTCTCTCAAATAAATACGAGCTGAACTCCCCCTCTCTGCGCCAACAATCACACTCTGGCAAAGAGGGCAGTTAGGGTCTTTTCTTGCGTGTATTCACCCACGCAGCCGAAGCAGGCCCGTGCAGGAGACAGACACATCTCTGTTTTCCTCTATGGTCCTAATCTCTCCCAAGACTCTAGTCTACACGTCCGTGTGCTCGACATTTCCATCTCCAAGCCAACAGGTATTAAACCCTTTCTCTCCCAAGTAATTCTCACTTTGGATTTCTCTCCTTAGCAATGAAGTTACTTTCTTGCAACACAAACTTCGTACTTGTGACTCCTTGTCTTTTAGCCTTCTCCCCACTCTCAAACTGTGCTCCAACCCTGTGAGTAAGTTTTATGCAATTTCTATTTCTGACCTTCCTTCTTCTAACTATAGCAATCAGCCCAGCTCACACCCTATTCCCCTCGCTGGTGGACAATTTCTCTGGTTTCCAAACCACTCTGTGGAGGTATAATTTAAAGCAAGGGAATAGTTCTGACCCTGAGGGATACAGAATTTTCCAGATCTGTCACTGTTGTCAGTCTTCCTCAAATATGATCTTCAGATCACTTACTCATCTGCTCAAAAATCCTCGATGGCTCCTCCTCTTTGTAAGATTAGCTTCAAACCACCTGCCACAGTTTCAGAGTCTACCTCATCCTGGCCAGACTGCTTCCCGCTGCTCCAGACCGGATGTCTGTGTCCCTCCAAACCTCCTTTGTTGAAACCATCACATTCCTAATGTGATTGCATTAGGAGGTGGGGCCTTCAGGGGGTGAGTAGGTCACGGAGGTGAAATCCTTGGGAATGGGACGAGCATCCTTACACAAGAGCCCCCAGACAGCTCCCTCGCCCTTTCTGCCATGTGAGGACACTGAGAAGATGAATGTCTGGGACGGAGGAAGTGGGTCCTCAGCAGACACCGCACTTGCCCGCACCTTCGTCCTGGATTCCCAGCCTCCAGAACGATGAGAAATAAACCGGTGTTCATAAACCCCCCAGTCAGTGGTATTCTTTTATAGCAGCCCGAAGAGATGCATCTATCAGCCCCATACTCTGACTGTTCTAAACCCTCCACTTGGACAGGACCAAGTTGCTCCCTCTGCCTCTTACTCCCGCTGACCCTCCTGCAGAGTGCCCCCCTCCCCCGCCTTCACTTTCTCTGAACTCCACTTAGGCGGTAAGGCCCAGCTCAAACCCCGCCTCCTCCCCAGCTGATCAGCCTTGCCCAGTGATCTCCCCTCTCATTCAATTCCAACACTTCCTGTTCGTTTTACTCATTAGGCACCTTACGCTTTATGGGCACTGAAAGCTCTTGGCATTTGAGGAAGGTTAGATTCAAGAAGGCCCAGCAAAAATGAAGGAAAAGAAAATTGGAGAAGGCAATCTCTTCTCTTCCTCTCTCCCCACTCTACTCCACCAAAGCTACTTATTGTTGTAACGTAAGCGAGCCCAAGACAAGAAAGGGCTCCTTTCGCAATTCTCCTGCCTTTTCTCAAGCCTCGGCTAGAAGCCCCTTCCCCTGCCCGTGGAGGCAGGGCAGTTCAGATAACCGTTCTGTGGGGAAGCCATGCCTGAGCACCCCAGTCAGAGGGAGAATGTGGTCTCGATGGCTATCCAACATGCATCTGATTTTTGTGGTCACTGAGTTGTGGCATCAAACAGATCTGGGGCTGAATCCAAAGTCCACTACTCGTGAACTCTGTCTACCTGAAGAATGACATCACCTCTCTCAGTTTTCTCATCTACAAAATAGGGTTAATAGTTGAACACGGCTCATAGGATAACCTGAGGATTAAGTGAAATTAAGATGATTTATATTAAGCACCTGGTGCTTGGCACAAAGTAAGGGCTCAGTAAATGTTGAGTGTTACTATTAGGGTCTCCTACATATGTATTTGTCTCTCACTCAGAGGAGCCCCATGAAGCTCCAGTTAGTGAGTTTTACTCCCAAACACTCAGCACAAGTGCCCTGCCTACAGCATTCAACGGACTTTTTTTTTTTTTTAGATTTTATTTATTTGACAGAGAGAGACACAGCCAGAGAGGGAACACAAGCAGGGAGAGTGGGAGAGGGAGAAGCAGGCTTCCTGCCAAGCAGGGAGCCCATCGTGGGGCTCAATCCCAGGACCCTGGGATCATGACCTGAGCCGAAGGCAGACGCTTAACGACTGAGCAACCCGGGCGCCCCTCAACGGACATTTTTTAAACCAAATAATCAGCAAATGTGCTTCTCCCAGGAATGTATGCATCTCAAGATACAAACACCTAATGGCAGGTGAAACCTAGCATGTGCTCAAATAATTGTGGATGAACAAATGGAGGAAAATGTTCCTTGAACAGGGCCTTTTACTATTCTAGGACTCATCCTATCTTAGATGAGCTACACAGAATTAAGACACGGTGTTGTGTGTGGTCTTCCTAAAAAGCAGAGTTATTACTGCGAGGAAAGGTGCCGGCTGGCACAGGGATTATTTAAATCCTCAAGAGGGAAACTCCCTGTCTCCTGACCTGGCTGCTAAGTTCTTTAAGGGCAAGAGCCCTGATTCAATACATGCTTCGACTCCTCATAGCTCCTGGCAAAGTGATGCCACACAGACCATGCTGAGATATTTGATCTACACTCTATACAGTTGCTTCTTACAGCTCCTTCTCCTAAACCCATTTATTCCCAAATTTCTTACAGAGGTATCCTAAAAATTCAGGATGCCAAATAAAGGAAGGTAGGAAGATAAAGGACATACTGCAAAATACAAATCCAGTTAAGAAACGATTAAGAAATAAACCTGTTACAAACAAACAAACAACAAGATTGGCAAGTGAAGTAACCCCCAGGCTTGTTAGCAGTCCAGAAGACTCCTGCCAGCTTTAGCAGGCACCAGGCTCCCCTTCTCCCTGTGTCAGGTCAGAATGTCGGGCAGATGGAGAGACTGAGCTGGAGACGTCACCTGAGTCAACAAAGGCTTTCACAGGATGTCCATTCACTTTGCAGTTAATATAAAGCATCACCACTTGACCAAAACTTTCAGGAGCCTCTTCCATAGCTATTGTCATGTTTTCCTCAATGTTCTGTTGCCTGTAACAAACCAAAACCAAGTACAGTAAAATCATTATTTCCAGGAAGGGAAATCTGTTTCAAAGTCACAATATTAAAAACAGGCTTGGCTTTCTCTTCAACGAGGCGGCTGAGCGGCAGACGCAGAGATGCCGATCTTCGCGAAGACCCTGATAGGCAAGACCATCAACCTGGAGGTTGAGCCCAGTGACACCAGTGAGAGAATGTCAAAGCCAAAATCCAAGATAAGGAGAGCGTCCCACCTGACCAGCAGTGTCTGATTTTCGTGGGCAAACCGCTGAAGGATGGCCGCACTCTCTCAGACTACAATATCCAGGAAGAGCTCACCCTGCACTTGGTGCTTTGCCTGTGGGTGGCACCATGGAGCCTTCCCTCAGCCAACTGGCCCAGAAATAAAACTGCGACAAGATCATCTGCCACCACTGCTTTGCTTGCCCACACTCCTGCGCTATCAACTGCCTTGGGAAGAAGCACGGCCACACCAACCCCCCGCACCCCAAGAAGGCCAAATAAGGCCCTTCCATCTGCTCTTCCTTTGCCTGCAGGGCAGCCTCCTGCCCGAGCCCCCAAGGCCTTGGAGCCTCCATGTTTTCCCTTTCACAGACTGGAGGGAAAAAACCCCAACAGAGCTGTACACCTCTTTTGCCCCTGTTACAGCAGCTGAGTCATGGAAATGGAAACCGGTCTCTTGGGCAACAGGTGAGGTAGAGATGCAGCCGGCAGAAAATCGAAAGGCATACACATGGCTTTCTCACGCCAAACAGTTCTGCTCTCTTTATGAGCTCAGATACAGGAAGATAAACCTCTGGAGAGTAAGGGTCACAACCTTATAATTCTGTAGAATGCGAGAATTTCACGAATGCTTCAATTTTAACGGGGGATTTACTGGGTATCTGGGTACATTTCCTATGCCCAGTGCCTTAGAAATAGTTGGCAAATGTAATACATGGGTGTTAACGGCCTGTGCTGTGTCTCTGCTTAACTCCCGAGACTGGGTTTTCCACCTGTGAGGGAGGTGACGACCCCTGCTGTAGTGCGGCTACGAGGCGGAGAGCATCTAGAACACGGTGATGGCAGAAGCACAGATGCTCAGCAAATGCGTGCGTCTCTCTAGTTACCGCTATCACTTAGAAAACCACGCACACACACATCACAGCTCATGTGGTCCGTCAAACCGTTCCTTCAAACATCAAACATACTCTAATTCCCACATGAGAAAAGGACATAAGAGAGGGTTCTAGCTTACTCCAACATCTCATGCCTTCATTCCCAACCTCCTTTTGAAAACCTGTGCCTCGGATAAACCTCACTGGCTACGACGCCACCACTGCGCAGTTAGCGAACACTACCGACGTTAGTGGGAACGAGGGCAGGGGCTGCGCGACGTACCTGAAGGCTGAGACACGAACGGAACAGGGCCCCAGACTGGGGATAAACTACAACCACAGACCGCCACCCGTCTGTGCAGACCAACTTCTACGGGAGCGCAGCTGCACGCTCACTTCTGGGCTGTCGCATTACGTATGGCCGCTCTGGTACCAGCACTGGCTTAAGCCAGCCTCGCGACAGAGACAGCGGGGCCTGCAAACCCTAAAATAGTTCCTCTCTGGCTGACCCTGCTCTAACTTGTAGTGCCTGTCCTTTTCGTAGTAGTACTCTACCTCAACTGAACTCATGATTTTATCAGCCATTCTCTAATAATACATGAAACTTTTCAGGAAATCAAAGGCACACTTGTTTAATTTAGTCAGGGAAATATGCAAGCTATTATACCCCAGTGTACATATACCCTGAGTAATCACTGGTGCAGCGTACCAAATAAAACTTTAGGAGGCATCTGACAGAATTACACAGCTTTTCTCTTATGCCACATTCGTAAATTTAGAAATGAACTAAAATTAGTTGTACACTCCTGACCTTGCATTGACTGCAACCAAGATAAATTTCAGCAAAATCAGATTCTGAGATAATACCAGTCACTCTGGCTATTCTGGGCCCTATATGTCGAGAGTCTCTTGAGAGGCACAAGGTCTTCTTTTTTTAAAAGAGTGTACACATTACCCTATTTCCTTAATCTCCCCTGGCCCCCCACGGGCCACACGAATATGCCTCATCTCACTGCCACTCTGCCCGCAGGGCAGGGCAGGGTTTGGCCACGATGCCTCTCCACTCTCCCTCCCACTTCCTGGGTTGAACACGTCTATTCTTGAGAATTATGTCAGGTTCCCTTAGAGCTGCAATGGGGTCTAGTTCAGAGAACACAAATTTCTTCCTGTTTCTCTGGGTAGATTTAACTAGTGAGATGCTTTTTCAAAGATATTCATATACTAATATACTGATGCAATTAATGGGGGCACTTCATCAACAAGAACACGAATGGCTTGGGGCTGACAACCGATTCTGACATACAATTTAAATTTCCCTGATTTCAAATGTAGTTAGAGAAACAAGAAATAAAATAACCGTTATAAGGTTCCAAGCTGACTGTATAATATAATGACCAAGTTGGGCTTCATTCGAGTAACAAAAGATTATGACAACGAAGAACATAGTTCTTCTTAGTTATACAGCAGTCCCCCCTTCTCTGCAAGGGATACATTCCATGACCCCCAGGGGATGCCCGAAACCACAAAGAGTACCAAATCCTATACAATGTTTTTTCCTGTATACACAGGAAAAATGGTTTATACCTATGATAAACCATTTATCAGTGGAGCATAGTAAGATAGAAGCAACAATAATAAAATAATTATAATATTCTGTAATAAACATGTGAATGCAGTCTCTCTCAAAACATCTTATTGTACTGTACTCACCCTTCTCATGATGATGTTAGGTGATAAAATGCCTACGTAATAAGATGAAGTGAGGTGAATGACAGAGGTTTTGTGACGTGGTATTAGGCTACCACTGATCTTCTGATCTATCTGCTTCTGGACTACAGTTAACCGCAGAAAACCGAGATGGTGGATAAGGTGGGGGAAGAACTAAGGCCTTAACCATTCGCAACAAAAACTGAATGGGGTGGAGGGGGCAGCTGTTCCTTCATTCTAAGGAACTGAAGAGCATCTTGCTCATGACCAGAAATGTGGCCCAGGCTGGCCTTAGCATCACCGTACCTGCTCTGGCCCCACCTCTTAAGATTCTGATCTAGCAGATTTGGGAGTGAAGCACAAGCATCTGCATTTTTAAAGCTTCTTTTGTGATTTTAACGTAGCCCCACGTGAGAACAACAGCATCAGAGACGCTGGAGCTGGAAAAGTGTCCGGCAGGCAGTTTATCCACTGAGGCCAGGGCAAGAACTGCAGGAGGAAAACAGACCCAGGACTACAGGGTTCCATCTGTCCAGAGCTCTCTCTAATCCAATCATGCTCAAGCCCGGGTTTAATTAGGGCTCCCGCGTTATGTCTAAGGACTCAGATTCCAGTCAGTCAGCCTAACAGTCTCACCAAGCTGAGGCTTCTGCTCCGCCCCGGGGTCATCTACCTGCAGCTGCTTTGATGATGCACTGTGGGCTGGTCCTGGAGTTTTCATTCAAGTTTTAGAAGAGAAAGCCATTAAGTTAGGTTTGTAATGTTGAATCAACATGTGAGGAAAACAGAAGAGGAGAGAATGACCTAAAAGGCTGATGCTGCTCTCTCAGATACAAAACAAGGACGCTGCTTCAGAGCAGACGCCCAACTGATACCGGGTCACCTGTGTCACCTGTCATTCGGGAACTCTGGATTCTCTAAAGCTCGCTCTTTAGGTAAAGGGTCATTACCTTATATCTTCTTCTATTTTTGCCTGAGCTTCAAGATCAAAAGGGTCAGCAGAAAAGAGACGAATCCTTTCTTGCTCTCTCCGGGCTCGGTCCTGCTGCTGCTCCACCAGGACCCTAGAAAATTTCTCTACAAAAATAAGGGGGAAAGTCTTCAGTACCACTCTATTTCCATTCTTTATTAGTACTTTTCCAGATCAAATAGTTTCTCAAGATACAACTGTAAAGAGATGCAGAAAGGAACCCTAAGAATTATTTTAAGTGAGCAATTACATTTACTTGCTATTTTCTGAGGCAAGACTACGTCACCCAAATTTAGTATAAGGAAATCAAGTCTTTGCAAAAATCATTTCTTCCTGTAATCGTACTGTTTCTACCCAGAGATAACAATAGTTGGACTGAAATCAGCGGGAATGACTATCTGTGTGGCAGGTAAATGGCTGCACTACTCTCCTCCCCGGCCGCTCTTATGAACCTACTACCTAGAAATAAAACAGAGCACGACAACAGGGAATGTAGTCAATGGTATTGTAATAGCATTTGTGTGGTGACAAATGGTGCGCCTGTGGTGAGCACAGCATAAGGCACAGACTGGATGAATCACTATGTGGTACACATGGAACTAGGGTAACACTGTGTGTCAACTACAGTTCAATTAAAAAACAAAAGTCAAACAAAAAAACAGTGCACTACAACCCTGTTTCTCCTCTTCTAGTTTCATTCCCTTTATAACACCCTCTGCCTTAAGCCAGGTAAGTTAAATGCAAACTACTGTTAGCCTACCTAGCTAACGTGATGAATAATAGGGAAATGAGTAAAGAGAAAATATTGCTTGCTTTAAAATGTATGTTACAAGAATCACCTTAATTTTGCTATTTCTTAAATGGGGGTGCATATAAGTGTATAAACTTAAACATGTCATCATTGTGGTCTTTGGTGACTAGATCTGCTACATAAGAAATTAAAGACACCAAAATAATGGTCATAGGAACTATTAATACACACACCATGAATGAATCTAAAACACATTAAGTTGAGCAAAAGAAGCCTGACATCAGAGAGGACATAGTATATGATTCCATTTATGTGAAGATCAAAACCATGATTATCAGAACGGCAGTAGCCCATAACTGACTTGTTGCAGAGAATATACTGGAACTTCTGGAGTGAGAAAAATGTTCTGTATCTTGATTAGGGTGGTGGCTACATGAGTTTGCCAAAACTCAATGAACTGTATACTTAAAATCTGTGCATTTCTGTTAGGTAATTATTACCTCGATTTTAAAAATGGTCAACTGAAGAATGAGCTATTAAGTGTCTGTTATATTTTAAAATTTAATCAGTACCATTTCATAAGCCCAAGAGTAAAACTAGAGAAATTTACAGAGAAAAACTTTATTCATGAAGCTGACTAAAAATAAGCGTTCTGTTTAATATAAGAATGGCTCAAATACAGCTCCAAGCAAACTGTTGGCAACAACCCCACTCTCATTAAACTTGGGGCGGGTGAAAATAAAGGGGTTGGGTTCCATTTTACCATACAGGCTGATGGCACTGGACACGTTTTCTGTAACTAAAAGCATTTCACCTGGCAGCAAGCTGGCTTACTAGCGCACTCTCAGACTGAGGGTCTAACTAAACAGGTTAAAATATCAGTACCTAGATTATGCGCTGTGAAAATAATTTGGAAAAAAAAAAATGTCAATGGAAGGGGCTGGTCAAGCTGGATTTCAGAACTCTATGCAGTTGTAAAATTCTCTCACTACTGCCAATCAACTCAGCCTTTGATACTAGCACTAACTGACCTAGAGAGCAACAGGTAGGTGCAAGAAACCATGTGACGCGGTGGGTCGAACACACCAGTTGCTCGAGTTTCTCCACACACGCTGCGACAGAACTACTGCCCCTCAGGTCAGCTTGACAGTCTTCCGTATTTATAAGCTTACCAAGGTCTCCACTGAGCAGAGCATCTGCCAGGGGCGGATTGCGTTCCTTCAGCAAGGACAGCTCATGGGGGTTGGCCAGCAACATGTCTCGGAGCAAGGCTGGATTGTCCAAGCCCTGAGGAGATGAAGCTATGTCTCCAGGAGATGAGTGGGACTGCTGTGCTCCTGGTGGCTGGCGCTGCCGGGAGCCTGACGTGCCAGGCACGGCTATACTACGGAAGTCTATTCGGGGTAAGTCTGTTGGGGAAAATCGGTTCAAAGTTTACTTCCAGTGACTCCATAAAAACAAGCATTTGAAGGGAACAGCGGAACATATGCTGGTACATGGCATGTAGTAAATGGTAACTGCAGACATTTGACCCTTCCCCTGCTCTCTCTCTCAACTGACTGAATATAAAGACAGCAGTCCGAGAGAACCCACAGGTAAGAACAGAAAAGGGGTGCTAACAATGGTAGTAATCCTCGATTTTTGGCTCATACAGTGTCCCAGAAGAGATGACAAGTTTTTACTTATTTGTGTGTGTGTTTTTTTAAGATTTTATTTATTTACTTGACAGAGAGAGACACGGCGAGAGAGGGAACACAAGCAGGGGGAGTGGAAGAGGGAGAAGCAGGCTCCCCCTGAGCAGGGAGCCCGATGCGGGGCTCGATCCCAGGACCCTGGGATCACGACCCGAGCCGAAGGCAGACGCTTAACGACTGAGCCACCCAGGTGCCCTTACTTATTTGTGTTTTTAAAACATTAAAGCTAGTCTCAATATACATAATCACATAATTCTGGATGTAATTCTTGAGAAAAATCCCAGTCCGCTTTGACATGTTTCAAAGAGCCTGCACGCCTTGGGTAAAGAATATTATACAAACCAAGGGAACTGCATCAATTTTAGATGTAAAATTCTACAAGCCTCTGCTAAACACATTCATTCTTGGAATTTACACTTTCACTCTGTGCATCACTGCTAACTCTTACACCCCCGGGGAGCTAGCAGGTATAATCATCTTACAGGAGAGACAAACAGAAGAAAAGTAACATGCTCAGGTTCTCAGTGCTGAGGTCACCAAAAGATAGAACAGATTTAGAGGCTACAACTCCCAGGTTCTATAATCCAGGCTGAGCTGACCTTATTAAAATGAAAGGAAAATAAAAGGGAGCCTTACACAAAGGACCCACATATTGTATGATTCCATTTATATGAAATGTCCAGAATAGGAAAATACACAGAGACAGGAAGTAGACTGATGGCTGCCTAGGGCCAGGAGGCTTGGAGGCAGATGGGGAATGACTGTTAATAGGTACAGTTTATTTTTAAGGTGATGAAAATGTGCTACAATTGATTGTAGTGATGGCTGCACAACTTGGAATATACTAAAAATCAATGAACTGTACCCTTTAAATGAGTGAATTGTATGGTGTATGAATGATATCTCAATAAAGCTATTACTTAAAAAGGAGTTTTACCTTAGCAAAGAAAAAGTAGAGCAGAGCCAGAATGGGGGGCTAGAACTGAGTGAATCTGCATCTCCTCAATCCCAAAAATGTATCTGGTCACTCCTGTCCCAAGTCTGAGGCCATGCTGAAGCTTATGGGACATCAATAGAAGAAGGGAATCCTTAAATTCCTTCAATTCAGTTTCTGCCTCTTAGCACGGGTTCAAACTAGACACTTTCTTCAAACGGACCTGAGCCGGCAGCTAGTAAATGTGTATGTGTGCGTGTACGTGTATGAGGGAGTTAATCTATACCAACCAGCAAAACACAGGGGCGGGCCTTCTCTGTGGGTCAAGAAATTTTATCTCTAACCCTGTTACACTTATCTTGAGAGTCCGTTCGCTTCAGAGTAATTCTGGGAAACCGGTTTACCTGATAGACGAGATCACCTTCCCCCCCCCTCCTGCTGGCTCTCTTGTCCACATAGGACAGTACAGAAAAAACAAAACAAAACAAAAAAACAGTGAATCTCCAGAACTAACAATTTCACCAAATTAACCAAAGGAAGACTTGGTTTTTGTTGACTGGCACGTTCGAATCACAACTCTTTCTGAAGTTTAACAGTAGCCCGGAGGGACTCGTGTAACCCCGATCTGGGAGGAACAGTGCATGATGGTCTCTTACAGCCCCAGTCTCAGGCTGACTAGAAACTCGTGTTCTAAGCTGGAGTGTAACATCCTCACCCAGACACCCGTCAGCTGTTACCACAAACTATAAAACCAGCCAACCTAAAGACTAAACACTGTTTAAAGAAATCTATCTGAAAATAGCAGGGAATGGAAAACACTATTACATTTCATCAAACAGTTCCACCTCAGAACCTTGTCAACTTTCTACAGATCATGAACCCCTCTGAGTATCTGAAGAAAGCTACAGATCCTCTCCCCATTAAGTGCACATGAGCTCACAGCCACGCAATTCTGTGATTATTTCAGGGACACAGAAATGTTCTAAATCCCAATGCACAGATTCCAGATTATAAACACCTCATCTGGATGGAACATCAACATAGACAACAGCTTCCTTTCATGTGATTAACACGGCCAGTGGGGAAGGAACAGAATTTGGTGGTCCGGCTGCTTAATACTCCTAAAGCTCAGTATAATGGAAAAAGTACCACATTTTTGTTCCCATGCCCTTACTTATTAGCTATGTAACACTGAAGACATTACTTAAAATCAGAGCTTCATCTATTAGTGGTAACAAATCATAAAGAGGAATCTCTTCCCCCACAACAGTGATGAGCCCCATGCGACGTGGGTACAAACGCCTGGCTGACTGCTCCACACAGGCCTGCTAGCCGAGGGCCGGACACGGAGTAGCAAAAGTCAGTCAGGAATCACAGGCAGAGGTGGCCTCCGAGGTCCTTCCCAAGGATAAAGTTATTATTGATAACAACAGAAGCAAACACTTATCGAGGACATGCTGTGTGCCAAAGGTTGCACGTGCACTATTCCCACAGCCTATCCTACAGCTGGTGATGAACCGGACGTAGGGAAGTTAATGCATCCAAGGTTACAAAGCAACCAAGGGGCAGTCAGAGCCTGTCCCCTGCACTCTGAACCCGAAGCTAGTCCACAGCTCTGGCCCACCGTGTTACGTCCTCTCTCCTGATGCTGGTGTCAGGATGTCTTACTTGGGAACTGCACTGGAGGTCGAGGGTCGGCGTTCTCCTTCTGCCGTAAAATCACAACGTCCCCATCTTTCAAGCCGTAGGAAGCCAGCGATCTGTGGTTGTCTGTGAGTGGTCTTTCAGCATAGACAATCTACAACCAGAAAAGATTGCACGGTAGAAAGCACTGAGAAGTAACATGGCACAAAGCAGGAACACTACGTACAACGTCCCTTTTCATCTGATTATCAGTCCCTGCTCAAAACCCCCCAATGGTTTCCTATCACACCTGGAATAAAAGCCCAAGTCCTTCCCATTACCTACTAGGCCCAAACCATTTGGCCCCTGGCTCTCCCTCTGACTTCATCTCATAATGTAATTGCTGTTCCCCAAATAACATGATCAATTTCCCCCTTGGGACTGTTTCACTTGCTCTTCTCTCTACCTAAGGAATGTTCTTTTCCCAGTCATCTCTTTTTTAAGTAGGCTCTGTGCCCAATGTGGGGCTCAAACTCACGACCCTGAGATCAAGAGTCGCACGCTCTGCCAACTGAGACAGCCAGGTGCTCCCCAGTCATTTCTTTTAAGGTCTCTGATCAAACATTACCTTTTCAGAGCCCTTCACTCATCATTCTATTAAAAATATACCCTCATCTCTCATATTATAAATCTTTATTGTGTTTCTGCCCCACTAAAATGTAAGCTACTTGGGGACAGGATTTTGTTTTGTTCTCCGTATCTCAAATGCCTTGTGTGTGTGGGTGTGTGTGTGTGTGAGATGAGAACTTCTAACATTTACTCTCCTAACAGCTTTCAAGTACGTGATACAGCACTGTTAATTACAGTCACCAAGCTGGACATGACATCCCTGTGTGTCCACCTTTAAATGATCCTGCACACTGGCAAGTCTACAAGTTTTCCAAATACCACCCGTTCTGCATCCTTCCTTCTCTTCTACCATTCCCAAAGTTTGGTCACACTTATGAGTGGAAGACGAAAGGGGAAGAAATTCAGAAAAGAACAACTAAACACAGATGGCAAAAAGCATCATGGATGTACTACTACTACTAATATTTTTACGAGATGCAATCAAACACTGAAGAAAACCTGACAGCAGAAAAGCAGATGAAACACCGCGCTGCAGAAAGCAAAGGCACAAAGAGCATAGGGTAATGTTACCATGAAGGAACATAAAACCTACCCTGAGCTATCACATACTCCAGAGGGGCATTCAGAATAAACTCAGGCTTTGAAAGGTTTTTCTCCCTAATGATTTGCTTTGCACCAGGCCACATGCAAACTGAGGAGCCTGAGTCCTGTCCTGGCTCTGACGGTGGCCGTGTCACTCAGCTGGTCCAGGCTTCACATTCCCCATTTGTCAAGCAAGCAGTTGGGACTGGAGAATCACTACAGCTGTCCCTTCCAGGTCTTTCTGCTCCACTACCATTTTACAGCATTTCCTCATGCGTCCTCAAAGCTTTCATAGTAAGACTGCCTGACACAGAACCTGAAAAATACAGGATTTATACTGGGAAAAAGGATCTGTCACATCTGCTCGCAGAATTTGCACTGATGTGAGGAACAGAACAGGAAACCGAATTTCCAAAACCGAATACTTCTGGGGATGCACAAAAAAACTGATTTCAGAGTATGTAGGGCTGACGATACTTTGTAAGTTCTCTACGTGACTAGAAAATGTAATGTTAGGGGCACCTGGGTGGCTCAGTTGTTAAGCGTCTGCCTTCGGCTCAGGTCATGATCCCAGGGTCCTGGGATCGAGCCCCACAT